CTATCTAGCGATATATGTGTAATGTACTGGTATATGAAACAACTAGCTTGTAGCTGCATAATACCAATGGCCTCCGAATAAAATGAATGTGACATACAGTTACAGATGGACATGACAACTATAAGTATATATAGCCTTTTGGAATGGAATATAATGGACAAAAATAAAAAAATAAAAGACATGACTGCGTAAAAACTAAAAAGTGAACTAAAAAGATAGGAACAAGTTACGAAGGAACATAATATTATATACAGTCCAATACAATGCTATTTTTTATGTCTAATTCTATGTTCTGTCTAATGTTTTAATTTATTTTTTTATTTACAGCTAGTTAGTTTTCATGAGTTAGATATTTGGAGTTTTATTTGAATTTCTTATACCAAAATACTTTTAAACATATATTGTAAGTTTTCTATATTTTTGTTATCGCCTCTTAAAAACCTTCATTTTAATACCGCACTCGAGAAGTTTAGAAGCAAAAAAAAATTAAAGTAACACAAATTATCGCCTGATATCCGCCATTTTTAATAAAATATGACATATTTTAATAAAATATGATATATTCCCTATGACATTTGTGTTATTAATACGAATCTAAGGACGTATGAATCATCCAAATCGGTTGAGGAATTTCGTAATTAGGAGGAAACAGACAAGAGCAAACACATAACCATAGAGTATATTGCTACATATATAAACACATAACCCACGTTTGGGCTTCGCCGCAGGGTACCGGATAAAAAATAAGCTCGTTTAGTTAAGACTCAAATATTATTTATATAATAGCCAAAGTTATAGAGAAAGTCAACAATCCGTAACTCCATTGTAGTGGCAAGCTAAGCATTACAGTATTAACTGCTGGTCTTGAGATAATATATTTCTTGGTACTCTCCTACCATTTATATAGCATTTATATCTAGATAAATAAAAATAAAATGCTGCTTAGTTGGAAAAGGGTGAAAAGATTTAGATAATAATTAACTTTTTAAAACGTTCTGAATAGTCTGAATAAGATTATTAGAAAAAAAAAAGTAAAAAAACGTTAGCTCGGAAAAATGGGGAAACTAAAATGAAAAACTCTTTCTATAGAATTTTTGTACGAACTCAAAGAACACAAATATACTTATTTCGACAGGACAACGAGTGTATAGTCATGTCTTTATAAAAAAAAAAAAACAACTCATATGAAATGCTTGTCATGTAATACCAGACTAGCGACTTACCCTCACTTGGCTCAGGTGCGTCCCTAGGTACGTTTTTTTTTTGCGCGGAACGCTATTTCTTTTTATAAAATATAAGTAGCCTTAGTTACTCCTTATAATATCACCTATCTGCCAGTGAAAGTTTTGTTGAAATCAGTCCGGCCATTTTAAAGACTAGCTGAAACAAACAGACAAAAAATTAAAAAATGTATTTTTCTTATAAGCACCGTATATAATTTCATATGTATTAGGTAAGTAGAAAGCTGTTATTTTGATATTACAAACAGACACTTCGATTTTATTTATCTGTATAGACCATTTCCTGCTCTCTTTTGTTCTGACCCACAAAATCCTTACTACGTACACTTCAGTTCCCACAGGACATCCGTTTCCCAGGATGTCCTGTGGGAGCCTATGTCCTTTTATATATATATATATAAGCTCAACGGTTTACTTTATTTAAATTATCATATTTCAATTGATTTTATAGGTATACCTAGATAAAGAAATGCAAATATAGGCTCAAACCGACAATTTCTTCAATTAAATTTATTTATCTCGGCACACGAAGTGGTTCCCATGGGAATGTTGGTTATAATAGTTAATTTAGGCTCACTAGTTATAATATAAATGAGTTTTATTGTTTATTTTACTCGTGAAATTAATTTTATATGGACTATGGTATAAGAAATACTGGCTGGCATACAAGGGCAATAAACAATTATTACTATAACGAATACAAAAATGACTTTTGAAATATAAATCTTCTACGTAGGAATTAAGATCGCAAATCTCCTAACTGTTAATGAATACAGATGTAAATATTATACAGGAGTTCTACTAACGATTATTGATAAAATACAGCCTAACTAATATATCAAAACTTGATAAGACTTATTGAAATAAAACGGAAACTAAACGACATCTTGCGTTTTATACTCGTATATTACAAACAAAGTAGCGTTTTACTTCTGACAAAATTTCAACAATCGTGGTTAAATGGATACAACACAAATTTGCTTTCTTACGACAGATGGCGTTTATTTAAAATTAATCAAACTAGAAATATATTGCTAAATATAACTGTTCCTTAAATTTGTAGATTTTTTTATAAACAAAATCTGTATCGATTTAATCACTGTAGTGTAGTTAAACAAAAAATCTACCATTTCAGTAAATATCTAGTGATTCCCCTGCCATCTGCAGGAGAAACATTGAACTGAATCACCTAAAAAGCCTCCAAAATGTTCACATGAAAAATTCTGCCTCTAGGTACAACTGTTCGAATATAATTCGTAATTTTAACGTAGAACGTACGAGATGACACTATTTCGATAACGAGTCACTTATATTTGTCCCAGAAATAATTGATTTAATTTATCAATTGACCTCAACATACTTACAGATTAAACTTCCCAAAAGTATATGAATCACGACACGCACGAATAGTCATAGTTTAAAGTTATTAACACTTTTAAATATAACATGAATATTTTGTTTTGAATTATAGTAAAGTCCACAACACCAGCAGACGCACAGCACAAACTGTTGACAGTGAGTAAACTATCACGGGCTCAATATCTGAATCACTTTTCTCTTGGCGGGAACGAATGCACTTTCATTGGTCTTCTCACTCACACTTATATAAAACCTCATATACCTGTTTCACTGGTGTCGATTAAAGCAAAACCATTACTGTGAGAACAAAAAAGGGTCCCCTTTGAGCAAATTGTAATATATCATGATTTTGACGTTATGAGCTAGGGACTTCGGAATAGTTCGCTTTTGTCCAAAGCCATAAAATTTATTGAGTAACGGTAACTGGTCGACCTATGCTAGTATTCAGAGTTCGTGGCGTTCTCCGGCTGCTAGCATCAGGTAGGTATGTACGGGTGACAATATTGCAATAGGTAAGTAATAACTACGTTAACGAAAACAGGTTAGAAAAAAGTTACGAATTCTACTGATCAATAGTCAGTACCTTCAATAAAGTATTTTTTACAGCACAAATATAAGCTTTATAATCAATGATATACAAAAATCCATATATCTTTATCACTTTTCTAAAAAGCTTTATTTACGTTTAATAAGTATAGTTTAAACTATAGGTACTTAAATATAAGCTTGTTTTATTACCTTTGAGTACAAAAATAAGCTGTCTAAGGTACGAAATCCCACGGATTTAAGTCATTTATCAAATTAATAACAATAGATCAGTTGGCAGCTGACTATCGATACCATTCGAAGTTAAGCATTTATTTAAAATAAAAACTATGGACGATTGTATAGTATCAGCGTCCTGTTGGCATGGGAATGATGGTAGGAGTAATTTGAAATGCATGTTTATTTCCGTACCAAAAATTATAACTTTGGCAGACAATAAAAATAAATACCAAAAAAATGGCATAATGCATAGCAAAGAGGTATATTCATTATATGTAGTAAAATATTATTGTCAGACTGTATTCAATAATCATTCATACATCCATAATCCTTTGTAAATGTGCACCGCGACGATTTACACTATCACGAAACTGAATAATTCACCTGAACTCCAGCAAAAGAAAACAGACTTTCTTAAAGTTACACAAATATTAATTAAACATAATTAAGGAAAATAAACAACAATAAATAAGTTAAAGTGGCTTACTTATGCCAGAGATACCATGATTATTACTATGTATATTAATACATAAACATACTACTTAATAAATAGCAATACTTAATTATAAGTTTGTTGATGTACGCCAATGACCTTATCACGACACGCCTCTTTGATATGATAGATAAAATTCTTCCAATTGTATACCTACTAAATTATGGAATTAATTATTAATATTATTATTATAATTAATTACATTTTTATATGAAATGGTAGATTTTTTATTTAACTACACTACAGTGATTAAATCGATACATATTAAATAAGCTAATAACTTTACCCATCAATTGCGTCTTCAAACTATTTACTGAATTTTAATTTTATTTTATTTTTACTTTAATATATGTATTTTTTTACTTTAATATATTTACTTAACTTTATATAAAATATTTGTATTTTTAGGTTTTATCATTATCTTAACGACTTTAGTATCAATGCAGTTATTTAGGTAGTGGTCTACATCGCCCTCAACTTGCGCAAGAACTTGTGGTTGTGACGTCATATGATCATTAAACAAATTTTATTTTGTATAATACCTTTTTAAACAAGATAATTCGTCCATAACTACGTACTAGCTGAGAACCAATAGCAATAATTATTTAAGAACATGGCTAAGAATTAAGCCATGTTTCAAATTATTATAAAAATATTATTTTGTCTAGGCTTCGTACTTATTTATAAATAAGTCGATAGGATATCACACTCACGTTGACATTCTCATTTAAACTTTAAGTAAAGTTATTTTTAGTTGACGAATTAGTTCCAGTGATATCACTAGGTATCCATTATCGTTGAAGGGTAATTTTGTATAAAGAGTACTGACAAGCATTTTAGCTACTGGAATATATTTTAACCTATTATCTTGTGTTCGTTTACTATCAGAGACCCGGTATGTCCGTCTTATCGTAAGCACACAAAGAAATCAAGCAAGTCAAAATGTAGCACACAACCAAACAAAGTCATTACCAAATTAACGACATTCAGGTGAACAAAAAAGCATTTAGTAAACAAATCTTTAACTGTGCGGTCGCCTTAGTGCTTGGTATCAATAGTGAGTAATGATAGTGTATCAATACGATATATTTAAAGTGGTGTACTAACTTACATAGTAGTGAGGATTTGGTACTTCTTGCAAAATGTCTACAACCTCTCCATCCCCACCACCTAGCCTACAATCAAATGAAGACTCAAGTGATTCGATGTCATCGGAATTCTCTGAAGCAGCCTCTCACCAAAATTGTAATTCATTGGAATCCACTCAGAAAATTTTTTACAAAATAAATTCACTTACATCGCATGGAGTAGAGGACATTCTTTCTGATGGACTAAACTACAGTGCTCAAGATAATACATTTCCAGATTACAAGGCCGAAGTGCTTTCCACAATATCAAGTTCATTCGTCCAAGATTACAATTCAAGAGATTCAACGGGATTTAGTATACAGGACATACTTGGACTACAACAGTCTTATAATGCAAATAATTCACAAGACTTGGAATCAAGATTAGAATATCAAATACCCCATTACGATAATATAAGCAACAGTTCTAATAATAATTATGCATCTGGACCCGAGGAAATGGTATCAGATCAATGCATTAATAAAAACAATGACATATTCCCTCCAGAATCCGAAATTAGGAACCAGGATATTTATCATAGAAATTACTCAGATAACGAACTGGTTCGATGTCATCAGAGAAGTGATTTAGACAACGATGTCAAAAATCCTGAAAGGGAACTAAATGATATAAGTGAATCAAGTTTTCCTAGTCAGGTAAATCATTCTAAATATTGAACCTTATTATTATTAATATACAACATACGATAAGCTCTCATTAATGCAAGAACGTCACTTAAATTGGTGTGATTTACCGCAGAATAACCGGATTCATAATGACAATTTAATTTCGTCGTAGATAGTAGCAATTAAAAAATAGGCTGAATTTATTTTATTATAACTTGCAACGTAGCCAAAGTAACACGCTCATCTTTTTAATTTATTTAAAAGGTTATGTTGTGGTATTTCAGACTTCTGCATGGTGTGATAAATCATCAATTATTAACAACCAAATCTTCAGCGCGAATTCGTCTGTGTCCAACGGTAAATGTTTTATTTTTTTTATAAAAGTTAATTTCTTTATATTATCTAATTTATATAAAATATTATCGCTTTTCAGATATGTCTACAGACTCATCGTCATATCCAAAAGGATTTACAAAACGAGCGCGGACCGCCTATACAAGCTCACAATTAGTTGAATTGGAAAATGAATTCCATCAAAACCGTTACCTTTGCCGTCCAAGACGTATAGAATTGGCTAATTACTTGCAGTTGTCGGAACGACAAATTAAAATATGGTTTCAAAACAGACGAATGAAATACAAAAAGGACAATAAGCACAATAAGCCAACTTCTTCAGTTGAGGATACGAACCCCTCTACTAATACCAAAGAACTGTCACCGAGTCAAGATCATAAAATGAGTCACGGGAGAAGCTGTGGCGGTCATGACCGTCATCGTCGTTTACTTACAGACAATCACAGCGCTCACCATAAAATTTATTTATCTTCTAATGAAACGCTCTCACGACCACCAGAATACTCTTCGGTCAGTCCCTTAAAATCAGTAATTAAAGGACCGCAAGCTACGATTGAACTTCCACCATACACACCTAACTTATCTTATTCGTCATATTATGGAACCGGGGCATCTCGAAATTCTTACTCGCCGATATCCGAAGTTTATCGATACACTAACGATGAGTCATTACAACCGAGTGGCCACGCATTGTCAACGCTGCAGTCAGACAGTTACGTGCCGAACGGCGTCAATTTAAAACTTACCGAAGATATGACACGTTACTCATCAGGATCTACGTACTATAATCCACTTACTAGTGGAGTCGTGTTACACACTTCAACTGCTGATACATATGGATTCAATTCTACAGTGCCAACGTTAAGCGCGCCTACATATGAAGACAACAGTTTAGTGCATTCACGAATGAACATCCCACTGGCTCAAGATTCTTACTTCCCATATTTATCATCAACCGACACTTCTAGTCAACACACTTCCACAAGTACTAATAAATATTCTTCTTATATATCTCTGTAATTTTAAGTAAACATTGTTAATTTTGTTTCAGAAAAATTAGAATAATTAATTATATACTAGACATATATGAATAACTACATATAATTTAATTAGGTATATTTTTTTCATGAAGTTAGATATAAATATAAATAAAAACAATTTATTATTAATTTATGGTTATTTATTTCATTTCCTTAATTTACATTGAATAATAAATACTATAAAGTTAAAGTTACTTACATTGGAAAATAAAATAGAATTCAAAACTACTATTAGATATGCATGTGTCTAGGTACTGGTAGACACATGTATATCTAAATCGAATAGGTATTCGAAAATGGTAAATTACGACATATTTACAAATTATACATAGCCATTTAATAGGCACTACAACTAGTAAAACATTACAAGTACATTGAGCAAGAGTAATTTACTAATAGCAGCTATATAGCAAACTATTCAGGATTGCATGTTAACAAAGAAAAAAGTAAAGTTTTACTTTGTTTTGTGTTTAGGATATTTATTATAAATAGTAATAATCTGTAATCCCTAACAATTTTTCCTGAGTCTCAACTCTAAGATCTATATCTTCAGAATTTTCACTGAGACTTACAGGCGATATGGGTTCATAAACCATTTTATTGACATTAGTATGTGGTTCTGTGATAGTTTTTTCAAGTAGATTAATATCTTGCGGTAAGCACTCATCTATGATATCAACTAAGTTGTTCATCATTTCACTATCTAAAATAACATATCCATTTTCATCTGAATTATGCTTTATATATGATTCAATCAATGTTAATCTATCTGACATTGTTTCTGACAAGTCCTCTGATGTCGGTGAATCTAAGATGTAATCTTGGCACTTCCTTTCACTTAGGCGTCGTCGATTTTGAAACCAAACTTTGATAGATCTTTCATTTACATTTAATTTGTTCATTAGTTCAATTCTTTCTTCACGATGCACGTAGGGCTTTTTTTTAAAAACTTCCTCTAGTGCTACAATTTGCTTTGTTGTAAAAATTGTACGTCTACGCTTTCTTTTTAAAGTGGCCTTAATAGTTGATTTTGGCATATCTAGAAAAAATACGATTATAACTAAAGAAATTGTTTAATACGTAATATTTTGAATTATAATAAAAAATATAACGTAGAATACTTACATGTAGGTAGGTTCTTCTGGTGATTGTTAACGTAATATTCAATACTATCCATTTGATCAGGTGCATAATTGGAAATCTCTCGTAGTGAAAGACAATGCTACAACAAAAAATAAATTATAGCAATTATTTCATTAAATTATTACATGAACATAATATTATAAAGTTCTTCTTCAGTTTTGTAAAATTATTGAAATAAAGTAATTTAATGTAAGTTACCTGGTCTGCGTTATATTTCACTATGCACCTCTCAAAATTCATTTTACTGTTCTCTTTATTCATAATATATTTAATTCTTCCATTAGAATTCACATGACAAGATGAAAATTCCTAGAAAAAATACAATAGTAATTGAAGGAACCAAATATATAACTCCAAATATTAGAAGCAAAACAGTAACAATGCACAAATTTTAGGATTTTTTAAACTTAATAGTACTCACTTTTAAATTGTTTTCGTGGTTAAAAGTCAAAGTGTTATTTTCCGTACTCTCACTATACATCACTGAATTAAGCCAAAAATCACTGCTTAAAATTTCAGAATTATTAACACCACACGCATACATGTTGCTGATGGTTTAGTTTTAAAGTAAATGAATATTAATATTACATGTTAATTTCTCTTATATAGAGAAAGCAGGTATATAAAACTTGACCTTTTCCAGGTTAATCCTTTTATTTTTGCTTTATCCCTAATTAAGTAATTATATCTACACCTAATGAGCTTGTTTACATTTTTATAGTGTTACTACGTGTTGCCTGCTTCTGTAAGAGTTCATTCAAAAACAAAAGTAAATAAAAACCTAAGACAGTATCTATGATGAACTATAAAATAAAGTAACTTTTCAAATAAAAAACATAATGGAATTTAAAATAAAATATTTCTAAGAAAATTTTGCTTGCTGTGAACTATATGCTGTATATAGAATCTACTTATTGATATATTTTCTATAAAATATATGTCTTAGTTTAAAGGTATTATATAAATACATATACGCAAATATTTCCAGTATATACGAATATACTATACCTATATATAAATGTCCGCTTGAAGCTAAGCTCTTTTCTCATCGATTAGAAAAATTCTATAACTCCGTCTTCACCTTTTGAAAAATTCGATTTTTTTAATATATGACCATCCTTTCTTAGATTTACGGCGAATATTTGACATTTTAAATAAAGTAAAAATTTTAACAAGAAAAATTTTAAATGTTTAGAAATAAAAACCAACAAATATTGTAAAATACTTTGGTGCCATTTTTGAATTTTTAAGATCATTTTTGTAAAATAGTGGGTAAGCACTGTCTGTAACAAGTAGATAATTTATTATTTATTTGAGACGTGTATGACCTTGGTCTCTCCCGTGATCATAATTGCTGTAAAGCATTCGAAACGTCGAGAACCAAAAATCAAAAAAATCCGCGAAGTAATCCGAAGAGATAGTTTTATTAATATAACAATCCACTAGTCCAACCACCCCGATCTAGGGCAGCTCGCAGTTCATCGTGCAGGGTGTTCAACATTACATTTGTGTTAAACGTTCCAAAAAACGCAGTAGGTACTCATGACTTGAAAAATCATCTAAGTGGCAACGTACTCGGCAAATTGCAGATATGTAATAAATTTATTGGTGTTAATACCATGCTCATTCCAAATGAGTATCTTGAAGACGTCCTCCGAGACAACAGTTTTGGAGAAATAACATCCCCTGTCTCCATGAGACTTGCACCCGGCATTGATTGCATTTGTATATACTTAATGGCTGTAATGGCTTTGAATAAAGATTTTAGGACCTAGCCTTTTATAAACACATCGACAGTCAATAAGTAGTGCAAGGATTTTAAAACAGCCAGTCAACAGGTATTCTCATAGGCCATTTCGTTCAGCATTGAGCAGCAGTCGCAGCAGAAAACTAGTATATTTTTAATGTCTTACTATTATTTTTGAGTGTGTATATACTAAAATTTGAACATAGATACAGTTTCTTAGTAATTTAAGGGTCTGTATTGAGAGTCAAATTCATGCTAAATTGCACACTTTAATTTAAAAACATTAAGATGTTTTTGTATCGAAATCTAAATATAAAAATATTACGTGGTATTGTAATGGATATATGTAATTATTAATTACAAATATCCATTACAATACCAACATACAATCCATTATTACTAATTATGTAAAATAACTTTCCATAGAGACAATCAGTCGAATATAAATTGTAAAAGATACCTGTAAGTATTAAATAATAATCTACATATCTTATGTCCTAAAAGAGGGTAAATTGAAAATAGAAATCATTAAGTTTAAAACCAGAAAACTGTTTCTCCTAATAGTGTGCACATTCCGTTTGAGGCTTACGACGTTATTTTAGATATAAAAAACATAAATTTAAAATGTTTCAAAATGTACTGATGACGACTTTAACGCCTTTATGCGACACAAATGAGGTATTTATTAGCATATCATAATACTGCTATATTTTAGTGCCTTTGAGATGTCTAATTTAAATTTCCGTGGTACATTTGTAAATTCGATTTCTTAAGATATTATTAATTCTATATTTCTGTATTATTTAAAAAAAATATATTAATTGCAGATTCATCAGTGGCAGAACCGGCCTTTTATACATAATTGGCCAGAATCGAAGCATCCCAAGTCGAAAGGAGGTATATTTTTAATAAATTTTACTTAATTAATAATTCATTTAACTAAAAACTTAATATTATAGTTTATTTAAATAAATCAATAATGAGTTATAGAATAAAATGTAAGGGTAATTGTGACTTGTATTGCTCAATTTTTTTTATATTTGTTATATAAGATTATATAAGATAATATAAGATAGATAAGATTATATTCACAAAATTTAAATCCTACATAACAAACTCTTATTCTATTTCATTTTATGCATCTTCAGTAAAAGTAAAATAAAGTTAGTGTTAAAAGTGAAAGTATTACAAAATTTTATAAATTAATTAATTATCCGTCTAATTGAACAATTAAAAATATTTTAAGAGCATATTGAGCATAGTGCCACTGGCCCTAAAATTCTTAATTTGTTTTCATCACATTGTACTACATATTTGACATGTGCTTTACAAGTTTATGACAATTAAATCAAATTAAAAGCTTCTGCCCAAGTGGCACTTAGATTTTTCTACTCGTATCTGGATTCACAATCAAAGTTTATGAGTACATCTCAATATTTTGCATTTTCATATAAAATATTTTGCGTTATTTCAGATAATTTCGTAACGAGGACTATAAAAAAAAGGAATAAGCGTAACCGAACTTCATACACAACAGAACAGCTAAGAGTTTTAGAACGTACTTTCACTAGAACAAAGTATATAAATACCGAACATCGCAAGGAACTCGCGGAATCTTTAAAAATTGGCGAAAAATGCATTAAGGTATGGTTTCAAAATAGAAGAATGAAGGAAAAAAGAGAATCTTCTGAATCCAGTTGTGACTCGTCAAGTGATTGCTATGTCGAGTCAATCACACCTCCACCCGATAATAATACAACACCTAGTGAAGAACAATATATTCTCCCGAATTATTACAACGGACTTCAAAATGTTGAAACAAATTCTTACTATTCCTATGTTGAAAATGTTAAGGGTTTTCCTCAGTTTAATGTTTATTATCAAAACTATGATGCGACCTTAAATACAAATCATAACATGCCCATGTACACTAGTAGTGACTACTTTAGAAATGATCCAAATATTTATCCTACATATTATTACCCCTGCACTGAGCCTGAAAATACTTACACGGATGTAAATCAAAATCAATATCTTAAAGACGAGGAACAAAATTGGTCAGCTAATGCATTTGACTTAAACTTTTTATAACTATTTAGCAATATAGAAAATAAGTAGATTAAAGATAAATTTATATTATATTATCGTTATAATGAAATTTAGGATATTTATAATAATATTTATACTCACGACTCAGTGGTTGCCTTTTTAAAAATAAGTAATTAATTATGTTTAATTAGTTAAATTAGTATTTTAAGTTTTTTAACGGTTATATTTTAAGATTTTATTTTATAATGTAATATTTTAAATGAAATTGTTACTTCTTCACAAATAACTTCTAACTGTACGAATAATAACTACTCTTTCTATAATATTTCATTTCTTCATTCATGGTTCATAATTTATGTTATGTTATTTCTTTATAAGCTATTTATCTTAATATGGTATGTTATTTACTAAGATACTAATAATTTAGATTGTAAATTATCAAGGAAAAATTGTTTACATTTAAGGAAAATACATAATATTTTAATAAATATACATCTTAATATTTTTTATTCAGATCACAGATGTCAATATATATATTTTTTATCTATATTAATTCCTAATACTACATTTTATTAGAGCCACTATTTAGCGGAATAGCAAGTATATAATGTGGCTGAGTTCTAGGATCTTGATTAATTCGTCCTATTGAAGATAGACCCTGTGATGGTTCATGGCAATTACAATTACAATTGCCTCTTATAGCATTTTGGTTATTTACAGAAAGTTCATTACTATGGGGAATTCCAAATGGTGATAAACCAGGTCCAGGTAATACGCTTAGTGGTTTCCAAACGATGTTGCCAGGTGAAACTGTTGAAACCGATGGTATGGAAAGTCCTGCAGTTACAGCAGCTCCTATTGGTAAAGATGAAGTACAATAATTTTGAGTATAAAATGGAACGTATTTCTGATCAGAATTAAGATGTACTGAAACGGTGTACGGTTGATTTGGCATAGCCGCTTTCTGAGCCAATTTTGTTTTAGATGAAAGATCTTGCGGTATATCTGATGATTGTGAGGTGTTTAGGTGCGTTGAATTTAAATATGTTTGATAGTTAAATTCATTTTTAAAATTCTCGTAATATGCACAAGGGCTTTCTTTTAATGGTGGTGGCGTAGAATGAATCGAAGTATTTTGTTGAACTTTATGTGACGGATTTGTAAATTGATTTACGCAAACCTGTCTTATCTGTTTGTCTATTGATGATTTACACTTAGTATTTTTTTGGGGTGTATTTAAATCTTCAGGATGTTTCAGTTTATTTTGACTAGACAAGCACATTACTTCAATGGGTCCATTTTGATTAGGTATATCAATGTTAAACTTTTTTGAATGACTGTATTCACTTATTTGTGACTGTTTGCTGCTAGACCCATTACGTGTTTCAAAATTATGGTCATTATGTAATTGCCCTTTGACTAATTCAACGTTACTTTTATTTTGATCAATCATATCTTTGTTTCCATTTTCTTTCTTTTCTCTCATACGACGATTTTGAAACCAAATCTTTACAGCTCTTTCTGAAATATTTAAAATATCAGCAATTTCTTTGCGGTTAGCACTTCCTATATACGGAAATTTCTTGAATTCGTTTTCTAAGTAATTTACTTGTTCTGTTGTAAATGCACTCCTAAATCGCTTTGATTTTTTTGAGGGATAATTTACAAACTGGTTAAATGGAATCTGAAAAATGTGTAAAATATGAAAAAAAAATTGTTCACGCAACATTAAAATAAATTATACGTCTAATAATTTTCTATCTTATTAAAATCTATACTATTAATAAATAAATTTGAAAGTAAATATTACTATATATCTGTTTCCTTTTCACATTTAAATTGCTGATCAGATTTCGACGAGGCTAGAGTAAGAATTACATGCAGCAGTGGAGCAAAAAAGTGGCTGAATTATTATTTCTTTTGGATATTTATATGAATATTTTATGACAATTAGAAGAAAAAGTTAAAATAAAAAGTGGAATTTATTAAAATTTGTGACTATTCAATTAATAAACTGTTAAGGATTATAAGTTCAAGAATAGGTACTGGTATGTACTTACAACAATTTCAGCATCCTTATTGATTTTGATATTCATATTACGGTTTAATCTCAATTTCCTTTCACTTTCCATGTGCTTAGATAACATACTGTACATTAAGTATAACACTTCTTTCAAATATATCACGATACTTGAACAAGCAGGATCAAACTAAGACCAAATTACAACTAAACATTTAACAATAATTAAAACGTATATATAGGAATCATTTCGAAACATTAATTAATAGCCAATAATTTATTACAACTTCTATCATTAACTAATTATATTAGAAATGATTTATTAATATTGTATCGATGGCATATCAAATATTGAACCAATGATTTGGTAGCTTATGTCTACTAATTATGCTTAACATTCTACAAATAAAGTACTATACGATAATAGCTTATCTATTAAGTAAAAGACTGCAGTAATCATGACTTTTTAATATAATATGCAGCACATGTTTAGGTGTGAACCAATATAATTTATAATGTGGGTATAATGCGTAGGATGGCGACATGAATTATATGTAGAGAAGTTTCATGACATTGTTAATATCATATTTAACGCAATGGAATTATAATATAGATCAAAACTAATAAATCAGTGAAAAAAATATGAAATCTATTAATAAATGACTAAGAAATTAATATAAACGGTCTTTCGGGTCGTGTGACGTCACGAAATTATTCTTACAAGCGCAACTTTAGATAAAATTTCATAACTTTTTCATTTGTTGCGATATTTTAATAATTCTTTCATAATTATGTAAAATTTTACTTAAATTTTCAAATCTTTAAAATTTGAAATTATGGCGTCCTTTTTGGCATACTTTTATCCTATTTCAATAATAAAACTAATAATGCTGATAGTCGTTTATATTACACTCAGAAAATAAGTATATTTCGTTAATAGCACTAGTAAATCGATTAAATGTGTGTATAGAAGGATACAAAAGGCTCAATCAATTCTACGGGTAAAGTTGACCTAACTTTTTAAATTGATCAAATTAAAATATTCACTTAATTAACAATTTTTGTAATTCAGATTATAACTGTAACTTAATAAAAAAACTAGTTAGCTTAATGGCATAATTGAAAGATATTTCTACAACTGAAATGTCAAAAAAAAAAACAAATGTCTTTTTTTTTTAATTGTACCTGTATGATGTAATTTTATATTTATATCATAACTTTTTTTGTAATATTGAAAAATATCACTGCCTTTTAACAATAAAAAGAAAAGATATTAAGAATTTTTTTAAGGGTAGATGTGGTGTATCTTTCTTCCTTGGAGAAACGGTGCAATGGATCGGTAAGTTAGGTACAATTATAATAAGGACCATAGAGTGACACAAACCACTTTCAATCCAGTATATTAAGTAGTAACCGGATAGTAGCTGCGTCATCTCAACTACAAATGCAGAAATAATAAGAAATGTTTTGTAATTTGATTCATTTTCTGTCCTTTTCTTGCCCTTGAACTTCTCCACTTTAGTATATAGGGTAAGATAAGACTTGATAACATATCTGATCTAAAACTTATCTAATCTTCATATTCGAAAATTTCGCCAGAAGTTATCATTATTATTATCCTAACCAACAGTTATATAGTCAGCTTCATCGGGGGCATCAAACAACTGATGGTAGTTATAGACCGTCATAGTCTGGCAAAACCCGTTTCATGTCAATTACGATAAGCAAGCCAAGCAATCAAGCCCAAGCCTCGTGACGTCCATTAGTCAATATACGAGATAGTAGTGAAAAATTAAGAAGATTCATGACAATGTCTCCCATGCGGTAGTCGCGATCTCTAAACATCGATCGGATGTATCTACTACTCTGGCTTTGAAGAAGACGTCATAGGCCAGTTTATCCGGCGGCCGAGTAAATATTTCACTATGGCCTAAAATCGAATACAGCCTAAAGATGTTAAGGGCTTAAAGAGATGATAAGGCGATTAGCATGGTGGCGTCCTACACCAAACTTGCTAGCACCCTGCATAGCGAGGGCCCACCAGGCACATTAAATGAGACAATGACGCAAGACGCCAAAAAATCTAGTGGATTCTGTTGAAGAGGACTCCTCCAGTCCTCTATCCGTCTCATTCCTAACTGCTGATTGAGATGAAATCCTGCACCAAACTCAAACGAGCCGTTACATAAGGGTACCACGAAGAGAGACTCCAAGGCGAAACCAAGGCTCTTTTGAAGAGGACTGTTTTCTTCTCTAGCCTTTTCAATAGTCAAATCGTCAAGCTTAAAATAGTGAAGATACAATTAGTAAAAGTTAAAAAAATCACTCTATAAATAAGTATATCAAAAAAAGCACAGATAAAACGTCCGTGGTTGAGTATACTAATATGTATAGTATTATATGATCTATACCAATATAAAAAAAATTATTTGTAATTATTGCGATTCCAAAATTAAGATCTTTGAATTGTTTTTACACTAGTTACTATTTGAATAATTGTTACTATGGACAAATACTTTAATAACAATAAATTAAGTATGTATACAAACTTCTTTATAAATGTAAAATAACATTTTTTTTAATGTGGCCGAAGTATCTGATAAAGACATTTATTGAAAAATGTGTTCGAGGGAACTTTGGGGCATGATAAAAACCAAATCGAGTCAATTGAAAAGTTTTAAAATTTGACGTCATATTTTATTACTTTATGAGCAAACAATCCATTTTTTACAATCTGAGATTCAATATGAGATACTTATATAGTCGCCTGTATATTACATAGTCGCCTGGACAAAAAACAAAAAGTAGGAATTTAAAAACAAAACAGAGAAAACATTATAATACAGATTATTTTTATTAATAAATATGCATATGATGTGTGGCATATAACTTAAAATTATACATTAAGCACTATAGTATTTAAAAATCATCATCCATATTAATACTACGAATCCATGATAAATCCCAATTTTGCCCATTAAAATCATTTGTAGAACCGTCACTTGTGCTGCTGCTCGTCCCTGGCTGCGGTGAGGAGTCTATAACTTCTACTTTAAAATTATCAATTTTATCGTTGATATGACATTCGATGAGGCCCATATTTACTTCACTATATTGTACATCAAAATTTTCCGCCAACTGAACGTTATTATCAACAATAAATGCAGGATATGAATTGAATGTTGAGTTCTGACCGCTTTGTACTATAGGCATTATATTTTGTGGTGGCATCGGCATAGCAGAAGATGCTACTGGATACTGTTCTACGTACTCGTCCCGGGTAAATATACCATTGTGTGGATATGGGTCATACATAATGACTGGTGCTGAAGCGTTTTGTGGTATTGGTTCTGTAGTACTTGTTGCTTCAGCCTCTTCGGCTGATTCAATCTTGTCTTTCTTTTCCTTCATACGTCGATTTTGGAACCAAATCTTAATAGTTCGCTCATTTAGACTGAGTACTTCTGAAAGTTCAGCGCGTCGGCTTCGATCTAGATAGCGAGCTCTTGCATATTCATTTTCCAATTCCATCATTTGTTGACTAGTAAATGCAGTACGGATGCGTTTCGGTTTTTTAACACCACCGTTAGTGGTTTTAGTTGCACTCCAAGTGGTGCGGGAACCCAAGAGATGACGGTTTCCGGAACTAGCCCATGACGTACTGGGCGCAGGGTAAGGTACGTAGACGCGAGAGGTAGACACCATGACTCCTGAATTACTGTGCCTGTTATGTGTGCTTTGAAATCTGATGTCATTGCCAGTTATCCCGTTTGATGAACTAGCATAATTTGGAAGGTTGTAATGCTGTTCATGGACATTAATGTTGCTATCAATGCAGTTAGTATTGCTGATACCATTTATATTATTGATTCCACTAGCACTGAGTCCATTATACATATTAGTATGAGTAATTTTCGGAACGTTGTAGATACCACTGGAACCATTGCAGTTTATGTGATTAACCCTATACTGCTGTGTTTCACCCGCCGAAGTTTGCTGTAAAAAAAAGTTATTAATGACTTTTTAATCAACTAAATTTTGATGTAAATTAATAAACTATAAATCTTTTTTAAGTCTACTCCTAATTATACTGAATATGTATCAACTAGATATATACACTTACTATATCACTTTGCGGGGTATGATTACTGGAGCCTGAGACCCACTGGGTATCACTGGTGTTATTCGGATAAACCTGACTTGTAGTTGACGTAGAGCTAGAAGTAGTCACTGACATTTTCCCTTTTATTTGAATATAGTAGAGGACTAGTACAAATTTCGAAAGCTACAATTGATTTGATTATTTTGACAAGAAAATAGGACATTATATATACCCCCGCTCCAATATTCACTAATGACTGCGAAAGAAAGCTTGATGACTGGATAGATAATGAGGTGTTATTGTTATATCACCTTTCTGGAGTAGATATTAAAAATCACTAAATTGATGTCCGAATAATATCAAAATATGAATACTACTTACTGAATGTACATATTCAAAGAGGAGGCTGTGAGTTTTGATTTTTTTCTTAGTTTGTGGCAGTTTTATTTTTTAATATTGTTCCAATTAATAAGCACACCAATGTTATTATATTTAAATCGATAAGCTAATAGATATTAAGCTAGAGTCAGTGTTGCGGTTTTTGATTAAATTAAATATTTTATTAAATTAAATTTTACATTTGTGTAAATTCACAATATTATAATCATATAGGCACTTATGGATCGACTTTTACAGCTTTTCGTGTTTACATATAATTGCTAATAAGAACACTTTTTATTTCTATTTAATAACTTTAAATGTTCCTCATATTTGTGGATTTGATATACATTCCCAGACATTTTCTTGAAGACTATTACTTTATTAACAGCGGCTAAAACTTTATACCGATTCTAATTACAGATGTAATTAGATTCCATAAGCTTATTTATTTATCAAAGCATACTTTAATTATACTATTATGGCAATAAAATTACATATAAAAATACCCTACGATACGAAGTACATGTATTAATATGCCTAATATCGCCTGTCATGCAAAATTTTTATGGCTAAAACATATTCGCTAATTATTATTATTTTTTCTAAATATAAGTGGCCACCCTTGAGGTATATCTATTTACTAAACATACACATAAAAAATTTTAATATTAAGTTGACGTATGTGTCTTATATTATATTTTATTACACATAGCACCATACGACATTTTCCTATTAATTTACTTTTAAAAATTTAAATTATATTTTTGAAGATTACATCATTATGACAAACTATTTATCTAGGAATGAAATAAGGATGTTTCTCTGACTAGAAAAGATTTTCTCAAATATTTCGTATTCATACTTGTAGAACGCCATCTAACCGTTCATATACCTAATAGGTAGTATCTTTATATGGAAAGGCTTTTCTTTTAAATACATATAACATATTTATGAAAAAAAATGCTTATATGCATAAAAACTTATTTTTGAAAGAAAATCATAATAGTAACAAATAACGCAAAATTTTTCTGTACATACATGCTTTTGGAGGAGTCTATTTAGAAGGAACTACATAGCTCAGTTGGTTAGGTTGCTATAAGAAGCGTAGGTTTACGTTGTGGGTAACGTATTTTTCAGTAGATGGCGTTACACGAAAAATAAGTCTATATCGTGTCTAATTTGATTCCTAAACGCTTTAAATTTAAATAAACTTTACCTTTTAAGTAAATATACAGTGAAAGAAATTAAATTCCGTAATTAAATATGTTCACGTAATAAAATACCTACATAATATGTTATGCTTAGATGAGAAAAATAAAATATTTTTCTCACATTATTGAAAATATAAGGAATATTTTCCTACCCTATTTAAAACAAAAAAAATGGTTTAAAATAATTTACCATGAGGCACCCCAACTTATTAGTCTATCGAAACAAATTGATTTAGACACAAAGACGATATAATAAAAAGATGTAAGATTTTTATTAATGATAATATTATGTAATTATAAGTAAATTTTTTAGTGGCAAGTATATAATTATAAAATAAAATATATTTAAATAACGTGAGTAGTTATTCCATACTCAGCCTCGCAGCTCGCTTCGCCCTACATCCGTGTTATAAAACGTTCATCCCGTCCTTTCCCGGGATATAATATCACGGGAATCCTCAACCCGCCACTGAAATTCATGTTAAAATACCGGTCTTCTATTCTTTATTGCATGGTAATCCTTTTTTGCTCTTTTATAACGCAATCTACGTCCCCTTTTACTAATTTTTATATTTGTCTATGAAAATATCGTTAAAATTAAGTAGAAGATTAGTGGGTATAAATAAAAAAAATATACGAGAAGAAAAACATGATCAACAATTGTTCGTGCTTTGGTATCATGCAAATAAACTAAATATAAAGTGATCATATTAAAATCACAATATTTCAGTATTATTTATATTTATACGTAGAAAGCTACATTTTCCACTAAACATCGTAACATGCGTATAGTGGATACATAAAATGTACTCCGAAACACATTGAAATCATTGCGACGGCAACAGTTGACGAATGTGGAATATTTCGCCAAAGTACTTTTACTGTGGCCTATGCTTGAGTTTGCTTATATTGAATAAACGTGAGTTGAATAGTAGAACAGGGTTGTCCCGCATAATATTTATTCAGAAATATAAAGAACATTATAAAAATAAGCTATGTATTATAAAATCGTGACTTTTATTAGAGAACATACTCTTATTGGTACTACACTAATAACTAAATATATGTACTTAATGAATTGCTTGTAAGAGTGTGAGAGTGACAGGAATAGAGAGTACACTTGTGCACTATAATATCTCCTGCGCAGTTGGCTAGTCTCAATGAGATTGGCCGCCGTAGCCGGAATCGGCCAGGAGAACATCATCAACCTATAGATGATATATGTATGTGTAATATAACTCAACATTTGGATTAAATAGAAAACACACTATACTGTCCTGGGAATTTCTGTAAAATATGTATCGAATCATACATTATTCTAGAATAACATTCTTTTACAAGTCACGATATTAATTTCAGTTGCTCCAATAAATTGAACTATGCTGTTTAACTGATCTCGTTAAAATCATTAAAATCGTTTTATATAATCGTTACACAAAAAATACATTCCTTATCTTTCTTTTTTGAAATTGGCTAACAATTAATTAACTTATAATTCTAATATAGCCTATCACATAGTAAACAGATGTATATTCTCATAATATAGGTACATACAAGTTTAGGTGTGACAAAGTACAAAGAAGCTGTCAATCAGCTTTATGGCTAAAGGGATTACTTATTTTATTTTTGTCAACAACTATTGTCTTATTTACCTGATTTTTATTTATTTACTTTCTTAATCACTTTGTTTATACTACAATGCTCTTATTGTGTTATAAAATGGATGTTTATCTATGTTTATTTTTTTTAAGATAAAAATATTTTTATACTGTACTCTGCGCTCACTAAATGAACTAATGTAACAACATTTTTTTGCTGTTTTAAGATAGGTACATATTAAAAACACATTTGCTTATATTTATTTGAACTTTGATTTTGCGTTATTTGAACTTATAAATAATCATTTTTAAATACTATTGGCGAGCAATTGAGAGAATTTAATAACAATATTATGACATTTGTACTAAAAATCTAAATAACAAATAAAAATACAGTAAAACGAAAGCATTACACAGCCCTAAACACCAGCCGGAGATCATCAATCATGCCGAAGACAATCACAACCGGTGGCGCATCTGCCGTGCTGCCATCGACACTCGATCCCGTCACTACCCCAGTAGTGTTGAGCAAATACCATGTAGGGATGAATCGTTAATTATAGTATCGATATCTACATACAGGTATACAATACACATAAATTGCAATTTTTATACGAAAATATATACATATTTTTTTTAGTTATCATGATAAATCTAACTTTCTAAATAATTATTATAGACCTATTGTTTAGCTGAATTATACTACAAATGTATCGAATATCATATTAAATAGTGGTATTTATTTGGATAAACTTAAAATTTGGTCTCATAAGGACAGAGATATACCTAACGAAGTTGTCTAATAGCAACAGTACCGAGCAAGAGATTAATCATAATTATAAAATGTAGCACATTAGTTTTATTTTAAATTATAGTAATTAAGAATTCGTGTAGTTATAGCACTTTCGTTGCATTTCCTTATGAATTATTCGTAAACGATTTTATTAATTATACTATTAAATTTAGTAGGTGATTAAATAATGGTTAATAATTAAAGTGTTACAAGTGCAGTTCCAAAATGACTTGTACAGTAAGTAAATTAAAAAGTAAACGAATTGCGCATATTACAAAATCTTATACATACCTAAATTAAAAATCGACTTGTAAGTTATTACAATAAATTATAATCAAAATACAGAACAGTAGAAAAAATATGATGTCGATATTTAATATAAGCCTAATGTGTCTTAAACGTAGCATTAGTATTATTATAGAAGCTTTTTCGTTATAATAAATCGCGCTCAACCCTCTCTTAAACGCGACTTTTAATCCCGTTCCCGTATTCACCTTGTTATTTCCTCGTAAAAAATTACTTTCCATATTTCACTAGTAGAAAATTGTAATATGGCGGCGTACTGTGCGTCTTAATAAATTTTTTTTTGGCGCATGAAAATGACATTCTGGCGTCACGTGTGACATTGATGAAAAAATATAAAAGAAATGATGGGATCGACGCGATACGACCCACTCATATCCCGTGTTCCTTGTTTATATACGTTTAGAATAAAGACGCTCGTAGATAGTCAGATGCTGCCACTTGACATATTACTATAGAGCACTTGTATTGTAAGAGTGGGTATAATAAAAATAATATTTGTCTAAGATAAACTTTATTTCTTTCGATATATAAAATGTCCAAGATGCATTAAAGGATATTGCAATAAAGGATAGCTAAAAAGGATAAATAAATACTTCGTGATATGTGTGTATATTGTTGTTGTGTATTTATTATTGTTTTTTTATAATAAATAATATAGATATTATTTGATCTTGTTGCCTCATTCGGATCAGGATCGCGTTTGACAAATGGGCGTCATTATTTGACAGACGCGATCGGAGGCATCACGTCAACATGCTGTCTTTTGTTTTATTAAACACACCCTCACTTGTATCGGTTTTATAAGGAAATTGAATCTAATATATGGCAAATTACAAAAAAAAACTT